AAAAAAAAAAAAAAAGGCGAGGAAAATAGCGAAGGCTTGAATTAATTTTTTCATCAGTTTTCTTCAACATTTGGGGTCTCTGCTGCCGCTTTCTCCCCCGACAGCTGTTCCTCTACGCTGAAAAAGAGCTCATTTGTGGTTTACTGCCACCAGTATTTAGATGGAAATAACCCACTACTTATCCTGCACTTGATCTCGTGGATATAAGAATAAACTCACCGCCGGTGCGATGCAAATCCCGCGCCTTTGGAGCGGGGACGCTCAGACGGTCGGTCCTCGCCGCCGCGCCGGGAGGAGCGCCGGCTGCGCCGGGGGAGTTTTACCGTTTTGTCACTCAATTATAATAATATTTCTGCTTCCAAATGTTTAAAAAGTTGGCTTCGGAAGGTATAATCATGGCACAGAGGCCAGCCTGACAATAGTAATTAATTAGGCTATTACGCATTCTGCAGTGATAATTGCTTTGCTGGAAAGTCACCAGCCATGAAAAGGACCCGGCGCGTAAATGTAATTTATCAGGCGGCGGCGATCCCGCGATGCTGCCGGGCCTCACCTTGAGCCTGCGGACGCTGCGGAGGGAGACGGAGGGGGGAAAAATGGGAATTAAGAGTCCATCGATATGTGATGCGGAGGCAGAGCTCGCTGCCGGCGCCTCCGTGGGCAGAGGGAGAATGTGATGCATTTGCATCGTGGGGATTTGGGGAACGGGGATGGTGCCATCCTGACCCCACAGAGCCAGGGCTGCTTCCAGAGATGCTCAGCTCCTCTAATTTTTTCCATTTTCTCCTCTATTTAGCAGGGTGCTGGTGGTGTCTCCCTCTTGGATGCGGGCATGGGGTTTGCTCCCTGCTTCTCGACAAAGCAGGGATTTAGGGTTTTTAATTACAAAACCTTGATTTTAGGACTGATATGGGATTTTCCCAGGTGTTTAGAAATAACAGCAGTTTCAGAGTTGGGGTGAGCTATCCCTGTGTGGGGCTCGGAGCTGCTCTGGCAGGAATCTCCCATTGCATTTGAGTAAATTATCCCCATCTGGAAAAGATTGCTGAAAATGTTACATATCTTTTTTACTGACATGTTCTTGAAGTTTAGTGGGACTCTGGAAGAACCACATGGATGCCTGGCTTGCCATCCTGCTGGTTGGCCATGCCGGTGATGCCCTGGCACCAACATGGGCTGGAATGTGCCAACCTGAGGTGGAGCCCAGGGCAGGGGGATGGCACAGGAGCTGGGCTGGTGAAATGGTCCCCAAATTCCTTGTCTGATGGAATGGCCCCCAAGTGCCTCCTCATCAGAAAGGGTCCTGTGGCTCCAGTTAAGATACGGATGGTAGTTAATGAGTAGAAAGGTGATGCACTGGGTCTGTGGGTGCTCCGTAGGAATTTGGGCTGAATGGTGGGTTGACCCCTCTCATGAAGCAGGAGGAAACTGGATCCATCCCCGGTGAGCCTCTGGGGTGTGACCATGGGGAGACCAGGTCCAGGGAACCACGGCGTGGGGATGCTGCAGGCTCCTTCCCACTGCAGAACCACAACATTCCTAGTGAGGGATGCTTGGATCTCAACCAGGATTGCTGAGGAGAGGGAAAAGCTTCAAAGTTTCCCCTTGAAAAGTGCTTTGTCTCTATGATGTGACTTGAGGAATGAAATTCACTGGGAACAGCTTGATTTGGAGTTTGGGTTAGGGATGCACAGGGAGCAGGCACAGGCAATGGAGAGGGAATAGGGAACATTTGGGCTGGATCTTTGCTCTGCATTATTTGGTTGGCACCATCTCAGGGGAGATGAAGCTCTTCAGAGCAGCTTGGGCAGGTCCAGGCTTCCCCATCAACCCACAGCAGAGCTGTGCCCATGGGCTGTGCCACTCCCTTGTAAAGTCCAAAGGATTTGGGAAGTGTGGGTCACACAGGACTGATGCCATGAGCACCGTGGTGTCTCCACATCCTTACAGCCCCCCCCATCAGTGCTCCCTGTGGGTGGATGCCACGTGCCACCAGCAAATCCGGTGACACAAAGCTGTCCTGCTCCACCACACAGGCTGTGCCTCCCGCCGTCTCCTCTCTGCCTTCCTCCTCCCTTCCCCACTTTATTATTATTATTTTAAAGCACCCTGAAGCCAAGCATTTTTGCAGAACACCGGAGAAAAGCTCCCAAATTCCTCCTCTGCTGGATACGCAGCGCTGAGAAAGTAGGTTTGTGTACGAGCCGCTATAAAAAGCCCGGCTTATACAATTTTAACAATAGAAAAATGATCTTTGTGCTCCAGTGCCTGCGAGCTCGGGAGGAGAAAGCAGTTTGCTCAGGTGGCTGCTGGATTACAAATGAGCCGTTTGCTTTGGGTTGGAATGACAAGCAATGGCAGTCCAGGCTGGCGGGGCGAGCCGGGAGCTCCGCTGGCATGGAGGAGGGAAAAGATGCTCTGATGTGGGAGCTGCCACTGGGCCGAGGCACGAAGTTCAGGCATTGTTTCATAATTAGCCCATCAGCGGCTTAAGAGCGGTTTAATTGACTATTCCACTGTTGTGTCTGCGGGGTGGGCACCTTTTCCTCCACCCAGTTTGGCACCAACTGGACATTTTCCAGCTGGGAATGGGTCACCTCCATCCCCGACGCCTGTGCCCAGGCAGCAGGGACACAGAGGTCTGTACATCCCACCAGTGCCCCATCCTGGATGGGAGGGGTAACAAGGGGACCCAGTGGGCAGCAGCCCCTGCCCCAAGGTGTCATTGTGCCTTGAAAAATTAAAGGGAGTAAATGATTCATGCTCATAAATGTTGGATGGGAACACGCAGCAGATTAATATGTTGTTGGGTTATTAGGGCTGTGCTGTGCCATCCTCCCGCCACCTGGCTGGTGTGAGTGTCACCAGCACCCCAACAGCTGAGAGGGGGCAGGGGCAGGAGCAGGACGAGATATCCCAGTCCCAGTGTGAGCATCACTTGCACCCACAGCACCGTACCGGGAGGGTGGCTGGGGAGGGCCATGTGCCGGATCCAGCCCGGCAAGCACAACAACGGCCAGGCTTCTTTATTTCTTATTTAAGCGCCGACATTAAATTATAATTTTCATTTACTCAGAGCACATCAATGATTTAGGGCGACGTGACATGGCAGCGGCATGAGGAGTTTAGCCAAAGGCAGCGAGTGGCTGCGCAGGGCACGGAGGGGACACAGAGCTGTGCCGGGTGGGGGGACCCGTGTGCTGGTGCTGGTGGTACCAGTCCCGTTAGCTCGGCAGAGCCGGTTCCTTCCTCCAGGCCCATCCCTGACCCGTTTATCCGTCTCCCTGCAGGTGATTGCACTTAGTAAGAGAAGCAAGGAGGCTGAGACGGCTTTCCTGAGCGTTTACAAGCAGTTGCTGGAAGCTCCAGGTAAGCAGCGCGGTGGCGACCTGGCTGCCTAACGAGTCGCGCGCCGGTGCCGAGAGGAGCCAGCGAGGACCGCGGCACCCATCCCCGGCGTGGCCGGCGCATGGTGCTCTGGAGATACCAGCCGAAGAGAGGAGAGGAAGCAGCTTTTGCCATCGCTGTGTTTCAGCCCCTGAGCCAAATGCATCTTGACATTAGGAAAGGAATACATTTGCTCAGCCCGTGTAGTAACACTGCGGCTATTCCCAGTTGTCTTTTTGATGGTAAGTTAACCCAAGCACCAGCACGAGCCACGGGGACACCCTTGAAGTCATTGCTTGAAGTCTTGGGAGGGGGAAACTGAGGCACGGGGCAGCCCTGAGGTTTGTGTTGGCAGAGCTGGTGCCAGGGACCAGTGAGGGGCTTGGACCCCCCTCCTGCTTCTCCCCACTTTGTGTGGGTTTGTTTGCGCCAGGCACGGAGCGTCCCCCGGCATGGCGGGGACAGAGAGCTGCAAACGGCTGAAGATGCACGGAAAAGGCTCCTGCAGGGCCACTAATTCATTTTCCAGACATTTAGGAATAACAAAATGTTTTAATGATTTCTTAGGGGAATTAGGGAGACATATTTTTGTCCTCATTAAATTTTCTCCTGTGCTACAAGAACCAAATGTCAGCTTGGTTTCCAGAACCCAGTTATCTTCCCTCCCCACCTCCCCGCGCTCTCCCACTGCGCTCCTCCTGCTCGCACACGCCTGCACACGGATGCACACACATGCACACCCCAAAACTGCTTCCCTGTGGGCTCTGCACTCCTCCTCCTCTTTTCCTCTCTCGGTTCTCCAAAGCAGCATCTCTTGCTCCCCTCCTGCTCCCCAAATCCTCCCGCCCGTGGTTCATCCCTGTCTGTTCCGTGTCCGCGTGTCTCTCGACAGGCGAACTCTTTGTGGAACACTTTCCAAGCGCCACATAAGTCCTGATTCGACATTTTTTGCTTTGAATGGCTGCTGTCAACACAAATCTCTGGCAGAGACTGTAACAGAGCCTGATTGCTCAGCAAGTATTTTGATAAGTGAGCTGGCTGTGTGTCTGTAATTACGGCAGAAAACCGTAAATCTTTTGGATATTGTTCACACAGATGTGGCGTGAAGGGAAGGGGGGGAAGCAGTAAAATGTGTTAAAAGCATAATTAATGTCATTGTTGTTGGGGATGATTTGATTTAAGGCTGACTTTGACTCGTGGAGGGATTTGCAGGGTGCTGGTGGATGTGTTTGAGCAGGTTAGGGTGGGGTGGCAGAGGAGATGCTGCCCTGGTGGGAGAGGTGACAGTACCATGGAGGTACCATGGATGCACCATGGGTGCCCTGTGCTCCTCTTGGAGCCAGGCAGCAGCTTGGAGCAGGTATCACCCTTCAACCTCCAGCATGGAGACCTCCACCTAAGGCTGGGTCAAGTGGCCCTGGCACAGGGATGAGCTGGTGGTCCCCTGGGATACAGATGCTCCCTGGAGCTATGCCTGCTCAGAGAAGGTGATGAGAACCCAGAACTCCTCCTGGCTCATCCTGCCATCACACAGGTGCCTCAAGCTGCTCCAGTGCCCACAGAGAGACCCCTTCCAGCTCAGGGAAAGATCCCCAACCCCACTCCCCGTGGGGACAGCAGGGGGGACCTCTGTCCAGGCCTGTTGCTGTTAGTGAGCATCCAAAGGAGGGCCATGGAGATGGGGAAGGGTCTGAAGGAGAAGCCACATGAGGAGCAGCTAAGGGCACTTGGTTTGTTCAGCTGGAGAAGAGGAGACTGAGGGGAGACCTCATCCCAAACCACAGCTTCCTCACTAGGGGCAGCGGAGGAGCAGGCACTGATCTCTGCTCTCTGTGAGCAGTGATGGGACTCAGGGAACGGCTGGAGCTGTGTCAGGGGAGGTTTAATTTGGATCTCAGGAAAAGGTTCTTCCCCCAGAAGGTGGTTGGGCACTGAACAGGCTCCCCAGGGAATGGTCACGGCCCCAAGGCTGCCAGAGCTCCAGGAGTGTTTGGACAATGCTCTCAGGGACAGGGTGGGATTGTTGGGGTGTCCTGAGCAGGGTCAGGAGTTGGACTGGATGGTCCTTGTGGTGCATTCCAACTCAGGATATTCTGTGATTCTGTGATCCTGCTGCAGCACTGCCAGTGCCGCTAAAGGATGGCCAATGACGCCAGCTAGTGGCAGCACTTATTTATATATATATATATTTATTACTTATAATTTGTTCGATATATATATTTAAGAAGACACATATATATAGTGGCTGAAGGTATGGAGCAATAGATAAATGTGCTGGGCAGGGCCACACTGCTTCCCACAAGAGCTGGCTGTGCCATTGGTGGGTGATGCCGCACCGTGGACCCGGAGCATGTGGTGCCCCAAGGTCCTGTTTTGGCAGAATTGTCTCCCATGTCACCCATCACCCATCTGTGCCAGCAGTGAGTCACCACTGCAGCAGTGTCAGGTCTAACCTGTCCCAATGGGAGATGTGATCCATGGAGGAAGGAACTGTCCCCTGTGCCGTGGGCAGTGTCCTGAGCTCCTGCGTGGCTCAGAGTGTGGTGGAAGTACATGGCACCCATGGCAGATGACGTGCTTGGTTTTCAGTGTGTCCTCTCTCCAGCCCTGCAGCAGGAGGGTTTGTTCACTGGCAGCACGAGCAAGGCATGAGCTTGGCATGAGCATGGCATGAGCTTGGCATGAGCATGGCATGGGTTTGGTACCCAGTCCCAGCACCCTTGTGGTGCACCCCAATATCTCACATGGTCTCAGAGCCGACCCCACAGCCGAGGGCAGCGTTTCCCAGTGGATGGGGAGCATGGCATTAGCACAGTGTAATTAATCCAGGCGGGCATTTGTACCCACACTGCCCTGGCTGACGCAGGAAGTGGAGCCAAAGCACCACTTGCTCTTTTCCATTCCCAAAGCTCCACTCCCCACCACTTCATCCTGGAATGTCAGCTCCAAATGGGGAGCAGCACGGGGGGGGGTCACCTCGGCTTGAAGACGAGAGGAATTGCGGGTGTGGATCCAGCGGGGCCTGCCCTGGCGTTTATCCCCATGGAGGCAGCTGCAGGCTGGCACTGAGCCTCCTGCCAACACCCCCAGGGCTGGGGAGCGTGGGGGGGACCCGCAGCCCCTGCAGCCCCCAGAGCACAGGGTTTAATTACCCGTATCATTATCTCTGCTCGGGTACTTACGGGTGTTATTAATGGCTCTGGGAGCATCCAGTGTGGTTCGGGCTGTGCCACATCACCACAATCCCCTTTGATGGTGTGGTCCTGCATCCTTGGGTGGGAAACCAGCCTGTGGGATGCTGAGCTGAGGAATGCCATGTGCCAAAGGATGCCATGAGCATCCCAGGAGAGTCCCAGCTGGAGCTCAGTCCCTATTTCAGTGCCAAATTTCAGCATTTGCCTCTGGACCCCACGCCAGAATCTGGGCACAAACCTCTTATTCCATCCATCCATGGGGTCTCTATGATGCCCAGCAGAAAGAAGGGAGAACATTCTCTGTGGAGAAGGATTCTCCAGGGGCTTTTGGCATTAACATGTGGGGTCTGGCAGTCGCTGGTCCTTTTGGCATTAACATGTGGGGTCTGGCATGTGCTGGGTGCTGTGGTGAGGTGCTCTGGGACGGGAGGGCAGCAGCGGGTCAGAGAGACCCCCAAACCCCATTTGGGGGGAACATGTCTCCAAATCACTAATTTCCAAGGAACATCCATCCATGCTGGGTGTCTTTGGGGCAGGGTCACCTCAAAGTCAGCTGGTGCAGCAGCTGACACCCTGAATCCCATGCCCTTGGTAGTGCCAGGCCCTTTATCCCACACCACTTCCATCTCAGCCAGGGATTTGCTGAGCAGCAGGGCTGCTCTGTGTCCTGTTCCAAGTGGAGAAAGCCAGGGGTTGGATTTTTTTTCCATCACAGTTATTATCTTTTACCCTTGGATGCCTGCCACGCGTCCGTGCTGTATAGTAGCGCACCCAACTCCATCCCACTTGCCTGTTTGTCTAACTTTTTGACCCTGGAGAATTCAAATCTATTTTCCTTCCTCTTCTTTTCTTCAAAAAAAAAAAACCAAACCAACAAACCCAAACCCCAAACCTATATTAACCTGGCTCAATAGGAGGCATTTTCTTGAACTTATTAAAAAATCCAGACTTGTAAATTAATTTGTTCATGTTGTACAATGGCAGTGCAGATGGACTCATTAGCATGCACACAACAAATAATTATAGATGAATTTTTAGCTGGCCTGCTTAATGGGCTTGCTGGGTTAATTATGTCAATGTATAATTACATCAGCCCTGGGAGACATAATGGCACACCCCGCTGAGCAGACACCAGCTAATGATGGTGTAATGCTGACAGAGGGAAGACGGACGGCTCCGGATGCACCTGCTTACCTCGGCACAAACCGCCATTGTCTGTGCCCAAACCGGCCGTGCCGGCGGCACCGGGGCACGGGAGATGTCCCCATGGCCCCTGCCCGTCCTTCGGTGTCTCGGGGCTGGCAATGAATGGCAGGAGCCAGGGGTGTCCCCATGGCAGCTGGAAAGGCAGGACCAAGGGGTATCCCGATGGTATCTGGAATGGCAGGACCCAGGGGTATCCCCATGGCACCTGGAAAGGCAGGACTCAGTGTATCCCCGTGGCACCTGGAAAGGCAGGACTCAGTGTATCCCCGTGGCACTTGGAAAGGCAGGACGCAGGGATGTCCCTACGGCACCTGGCAGGCTGTGGGTTGTTTTAAGCGGGGTGTGGAGAGTGGCTGCCCAGGGCTGGGTGATAAGGAGGGTGGGCAGTGGGTGCCCAGGCTGGTGGTGGGCATCCCTGCTGCTCACCCTGCATCCCACATCCCACAGACCCCGCTCCTGTGCTGGAGGCTGCCCGGAGCCTGGAGGACCGGCTGCAGCAGCTCCAGCGCCTCGAGCCCAACCCGCCTCCCCTGAAGGATCTCAGCCGCCCCTGGAAAAAGCACACGGAGCTCAGCAGCACCAAAGGTACCGCCGTGGTCCCCAGCTGGGCTCCCCCACGTGCCTCTGAGCACCCCTGGGATGCAGGGTGGGTCCCAGGGCCAGGATCTGTCCCCCAGCCCGTGGTCCCCAGCAGCCACCGCTGCTGTCCCCTCCGCAGCCATGTGACACGTGTCCCCCCGCAGAGCGCAGGGAGGGGACATCGCCGGCAGCCGACGGCCTCGACAGCAGAGCAGGGAGCACAGAGACCTCGGTGCAGAGAAATGAGGCAGAGAAGCAAAAGTACGTGAGTACTGGGAATGGGGTCGTTTCAGGGCACGATGGGAACATGGGGATCTGTCCCTGCTCCTGCACGGGGGTGTCCATCTGTCTGTCTCTCCTTCCTTTGCTCCTTTCCCTTCAGGTTGGGAGTGGTCACATCCTTCCCAGAAACCTGATACACCACCTTGGACACTCTCAGTGTCTGACCATCCATCCCCAGTCCCGTGTGGTTTTGGGGCAGAGCCGGGGCAGGTCCCTCCTGCCATCCCTGTATGCTCTGTGACACGTGGCTTTGCTCAGACAAATGGCTTAAACCCAGGTCTCTGGATGAACCTCATTAAATGACCTTTTAATTTGGAGGCTCCCAGCTTTCTCGGTGCCTTCATTGTTATTCCTTAACACGCTGCGTCGGGAAACAAATGAGGAATCTTTAAACCCTAAATTACAGATCTCTGCGAGTAAGTTCCTGGCAAGTGCAGGCTATAAATAATGCAGAATAACTTTCCCTGATTGCTTCCCCCTCCTCCAGTTAATTACAGGTGAGGGGTGGGCTGTCATTCCCCCCTCTGAGGGGTTTCAGCCACAGGGATCAGGGACAATTTTCAGCCCAAAGTGAATTTTTTTTAGACCTGGGGCAATAAACTTTTTAACATCAAAGGGTAGCACGACTTGAATGTGTCTTGGTGTCCAGTGGTGGGTCTTTTCTGGCATCAGTGAGGGATGGGGTCAGTGAAGGGATGCAGTGAGGGGTTTCTGTGTGATTTTGAGGGATGTGGGGTTGGCACAGCCGTGGTGCCCCCAGCACATCCCTCACGCCCATCTCTCACAGGGGGCTCCAGGAAGCACAGGTCACTTTGGCCTCTCGGCTGGGGGAGGCAGAGGAGAAGATCAAAGTGCTCCACGCAGGTAGGGGTGCCAGGATTGGGGCTAGTGACCACGGAGAAGTCCCTGCCAAGCCCCTGCCCCACAGCTCACCCTCCTCTTCCTCTTCCCAGCGCTGAAGGCCACGCAGACGGAGCTGCTGGAGCTGCGGTGTAAATACGACGAGGAAGCAGCATCCAAGTAAGTTGCCGGCGGTGCCGGGTCATGTCCAAGGCTGATCCAAGATGCCCGTGGCAGCACTGGGACATTCCCGTGGTGCTGCTAAATGGTTTGATGAGCTGAGATACTTTAAACCACTGCAGAAACATCCATAGTTGTGGTGTCCTTATCCCTAAACTCCTGCCCAGGCCCTGGGCTGTGTCTGTGCCTCTGCACCTGCTGACACCTCTTGCTTTCTCCTCACAGGGCAGACGAAGTCGCCATGATCATGACCAACCTTGAAAAAGCCAACCAGGTGAGCCAGGAGCTGACTGTCCGGGAGCTGATGGGGCTCCCCCCGCAGAGCCCAGGGTGCTGCACCCACCACAGCACCCTGAGCATCTGTGTGGGCTGGATGTCTGTCCCCAAATTGACAAAGGATTGTCGGGCACCAGGACTGGGGATCCCTACAAAGGGGAGCTCAGATTTCTTTCCCTTGATGTGACCCCCTCCCCATGCTGGGGGTCACTGGTGTTTTTGAGCTCCTTACAGGCTCCATTTGTCACCTTCAGCCTCTCCCAGGTGTTTTAGGGCACAACACACACGGCTCCAGTGTAATTACTCCTGGTCTTGTCCATTCCTCTTAATTAGTTTTATTTAATTCTGAAAATATAGGTACAAATAAATGCAGGTGGATAATAAAAGAGGCTTAAAGAGCAATTTGCATGTAAAATAAAAATGACCTTTTGGGTGGAACAAGGTAGAGTCCTGGAGGTGGTCTGCAGCCAGTGCCCAGGGATTGGGATTGGGACCAGCATTAGGATGCAGGAAGCTTAAATACGTGGAGGGAGCTTATGATACTGGTGGTGGGAGCAGAACGCTTGGGATGGGGACTATTCTATGCCCTGTGTGGGATGGGATGAGCCACAGGTGCCCAGTCTGATGCCCTTTCTGTTCTCCTGCAGCGAGCGGAGGTGGCGCAGAGGGAAGTGGAGAGTTTGCGGGAGCAGCTGGCAGCCGTCAACAGCTCCCTCCGCCTGGCCTGCTGCTCCCCAACGGGCACTGCTGGGGTGAGAGCACCCCTCAGGGCCAGGAACACCTCTCAGGGCCAGCAGAACCCCCTCAGAGCCAGCAGCACCCCATCACAACCGGGAGCACCCCTCAGGGCTGGGAGCATCTGTCACAGCCTGGAGCATCCCATTGCTCTTGGAAGCACCCCATCATAGCTAAGAGCACCACACAGCAGCCAGGTGTACCCCACAGCAGCCAGGACCACCCCATTGCACTTGGGAGCATCTTTTTGTGTTCAGGAGCACCCAACCATGTTGGGGAGCAAGCCCAAAATACCCAAGGCGTGTTTCTACGCTGAGGTGGTGATGCTGGCCATGCCCTCCAGCGTCCCACGGGGAGGGGGACATGCACTCCCATAGCACTCAGATGCACTTGGGAGACCTTTAAGGGCAGAGGAAAGGTCTGTCCCTCCCCAAGGCTCCATCACCCGGGTCCCCATCCTGTAGGACTGAGCTCTGGGACCGCCTGCCACACATGGGGATGTGTCTGACAGGGAAGGGTGGCCCTTGTCCTTGTGTTGGGTGTCTGGGAGCTGACAGTGTCCCTTCTCCCAGCAGGACAAAGTGAACTATTCCATGTGCTCAGGGTCGAGGCTGGAGGCAGCTCTGGCTGCCAAGGACCGGGAGATCCTGCGGCTCCTGAAGGACATCCAGCACCTCCAGAGCTCACTGCAGGAGCTGGAGGAGTCCTCTGCCAACCAGATCGCCGAGCTGGAGGGGCAGTTGGCTGCCAAGAACGAAGCCATCGAGGTGCGCCCACGGGGGTTTGGGGCTTGTCAGGGATGGAGGACGTGGGTCCTGCTGTGCTGGGTGTGCACCGGGAGCCAGCTGTGAGGACTCCCCTCCTCTTCTCCTCTGCAGAAGCTGGAGGAGAAGCTGCAGGCACAGGCGGACTACGAGGAGATCAAAACAGAGCTGAGGTATGACTTAGATGGCATCCATGGCTGCCTGCCTGTATCCCAGCTGGCGCAGTGCTGCCGGCACCCACGGCAGCGCTCCAGCAGCCGTAACACTCGGCAGCTTGCCGGCAGCAAAGCACCACGACCACCGAGTCACCCCCTTGTCTCCCTCCCAGCATCCTGAAGGCAATGAAGGTGGCCTCTGCTGGCTGCAGCCTTCCCCAGGCAAGTGCCGTGGCGCGTGCCGACGCGCTGGCCGGGCTGTGCCAGCCCTGCCGCCGGTGCCTCCGCCGCCCGTTCCCATCTCGGCTTGGCTCCTTGCAGAGCATATCGAAGGCAGAGGAGGCCCTGCTGTTGGGGAAGGAGGCTTTCTACCCCTCCCAGAAGTACCTGCTGGAGAAGCCCAGCCTGCTGGCCAACACTGGTAGGGCCCTCAGGTTCCATGGCATCCCCAGTCCCAGTGGGAACATCTCTGGGAATGTGGGCAGTGGGGACAGATCCTGTGCTGACTGCAGGAAGGAGCCTGGAGCCAATGGTGGGGTGGGGGGAAAACAGGGGGTGGGATGTCACCTGGGGAAGCTGAGGGGCTGTGCTGGGGCTGTTGCCAGGGGGACTCTAGTGTGTCTCCCTCTCTCATTCCTCTCTAGAGGAGGATCACTCCGAAGACGAGTCGGGGAAGGATTCTCTGGGCATGGAGCAGCCGTACCCATCCCCCCATCACGCCCCAAGCGATGAACCCGCATCCCCCACTCCTCTCCCGCCACTGCCCGGCCCCGGCGGGGCCCCTGACGGTCCCCGGACTTTTTCTCTGTCCCCTTTCCCGGGGAGTGAGCGGCTTTCGGGCGACCCCAAGGCCCCCCACCTCCCACTGCCCACGTACAAGAGCGAGAGCACTGCCGGGGGACCCTTCCCCTCCTCCTTCTTCGGGGCCAAAAGCAGCACCGTGCACCCTGCGCCTGCCACCAACGCCGCCAGCCCGCCCGGCGAGAACTCCGAGGGCAGCGCTGGCAGCTCTGCCGAGGAGGAGCAGCTGGACACGGCCGAAATCGCCTTCCAGGTGAAGGAGCAGCTGCTGAAGCACAACATTGGGCAGCGGGTCTTCGGGCACTACGTGCTGGGGCTGTCGCAGGGCTCCGTCAGCGAGATCCTGGCGCGGCCCAAGCCCTGGCACAAGCTGACGGTGAAGGGCAAGGAGCCGTTCATCAAGATGAAGCAGTTCCTCTCTGACGAACAGAATGTGCTGGCCCTGAGGACTATCCAGGTGCGCCAGAGAGGTGAGTGGTTGGGGTGGCCCCGGCCAACAGGTCCTGCCCTAGGATGCTCCAAGCAGTGCCATGGGATCCCCTCCCAGTGCACACCACTTCACCCCAGCAGCAGCCTGCGGTGCCCCATGCTGTGGCAGGGGTGCTCACCAGCCCATGATGCGCTGGCAGGATAGGCAGAGATGTTGCTCCCACCAGGGGCACTCCGGGATTGTCCCTCCCAGCTGCCAGCTGGGATGAGCCCTGGCAAACAGCAGCAATTAACAACAACCCATTGCTGTGGAAGCTGCGTCCCTGGACGTGCTTTACTCATTTATTCTGACAAGTGCCATTTAATTATTCATTAGGCTGTTCTGTGCTGTATGAATCAGTGTGCTTGGGAATATTTTGTTAAAATAATGAAGTTTTGGTGCTGCGGGACCTCAGTGGGTGTTGGCATCGCCACAGAATGGTGGCTCCTGGCTCCAGGGACAGCAACTGCTGGTGCCCTCTCAGAGGTGGCAGCGGGTCACTCAAGTCCCTGTGGTGGCACCAGGACTGGACAGTGCATGTCTGTGGTCCATGAATCTGCTGGTTTCATCCTGGAAGGCTCCAATTTATCCCCTGGATCCTATCCACCATTAACCCTTCACCTGCACATCCAGGAGGGCACAGTGCCAGGGATGGGGACATGGTCCCCGTGCCCATGTCTCTGCTCAGCACCCTATGTGCCAGTGTGGAGCGGGTGCCCTTGGATGGGATGAGCAAGGTGGTGGGAGGTGCCATGCCAGAGGCAGGAGCTGGCAGCCACAGCTCCCGGGGCTCCGGTAGCGACTAATCGGGAGTGACATTTGTCTTCAAACCAGCATCCCTAAAAATAACTGAACATGAGGAGCAGTAAATACTTCCTGACATACAAGTGGAGCTTGTAAAACCAGCACCAGTGACAAAGCTGTTATCCTGCCTCTTTGATCAGGTAGCATCACACCGCGGATCAGGACACCGGAGACCGGCTCCGACGACGCCATCAAAAGCATCCTGGAGCAGGCAAAGAAGGAGATCGAGTCGCAGAAGGGAGGTAGGTGCTGGCATGGAGTGGCCCCAGGGGGTGGCTGAGCCCCTGGGTTCTGTGTGGCTATGGGTCCCACCCCAAAAATGGCCTTTTCTGGGGGCATTCACGCACTGACATCCACAGACAACTTTTTGGGCATAGTGGAAAGAAATAAATGCTGTGAAGGATGGAAGAATAGCCATGCAGCAGTGTTCATATCTGGGCTTTTGGAAACTTTGGATGCACTTTTTCTCCCCCCTGCCCCAAACCAGATGATTAAATGAGGATGCACAATCCATCTGGCACAAGAAATCATTAAAGCAGCTGTGCTCACAGTAAATTACAAGACATGAAATACATTAAAACAGGTAGTCTGCTGAGAAAGCAGAATCCTGGAGAATTAAATTAGACGGGAACAGTGGAAAAACAGACAGGGAAAACAAACATGTTTGTCTGTCGTGTCATTGGTAATGGAATTTATTTTGCAATCATCAAAAAAGAAGCTGGCTTTGAGTCAGGGTGTTGAAGCTTAGTGGGTGCTGCTGGTCCTGCTCTGCACCCACATCCAAACCAGATTGGGATAAATCCCTTTTCCTCCTGCGTTTTGAATTACGGCCACATGGTGAACAGTGTGTCCTCGGGGCTCCCCTCACCCTTTTTCTCTGTAGGAGAACCCAAGGCACTGTCAGCATCGCAGGCAGTGGCCAACGGGACGGGCGGCAGCAGCTCGGAGGACGCCATCAAGAGCATCCTGGAGCAGGCGCGGCGGGAGATGCAGGCACAGCAGCAGGCGCTGCTGGACATGGAGTCGGGGGGCAGCGGGCGCCCCGCGGACCCGGCACCCGCCGAGCGCTCCACGCTGGCCACCGTCAGCCAGAACGTCACCCCCGCCTACGTGAAGCAGGAGGAGGGGAGCGGGGCCAGCCCCGGCCCCCCGCAGACGCCCCTGGCCGTCCTCTCTCCCGCCGCCTTTGTCCAGAGCATCATCCGGAAGGTGAAGTCGGAGATTGGCGACGCCGGCTCCTACTTCGACCAGCACTGGGCATCGGAGCGGAGCCTGCTCAGCCGGCCCTACACCTCTGTCTCACCTTCGCTCTCCTCCTCCTCCTCGAGCTACTCCAGCATGGCCAATGGCCGGGGCTGGCCGCGGGGTGAGCCCGGCGAGGGCGGCACCAACGAGGATGAGCTGCCGCCGGCGGATGAGGAGCCCCACCGGCTGTCGGAGATGAAGGCAGAGGGAGCTGGTGCGGAGCCAGCGGCTGGTGGGCGTCTCTCCTACTATCCCACGTATGTGCCAAGGACCCTGAAGCCCACCGTGCCACCGCTGACACCGGAGCAGTACGAGATGTACATGTACAGGGAGGTGGACACGCTGGAGCTGACCCGGCAGGTCAAGGAGAAATTGGCCAAGAACGGCATCTGCCAGAGGATCTTCGGGGAGAAGGTACCAGCCTGGAGAGGGGGGGTCCAGTGTCCCCTCCACAAGCCCAGGGCTCGTTGGTGGCCTTCACCAGCTCCTTCCAGGATCCCCCTTTTCCCCAGTGGCTTCCCCATGGGAGGATGCTGAGTCCTCAGGATCTGACCCAACCCCAAATGGTCTCCCAGTGGTCACCACTAACTGGTTGGTGGCACTTCCCACCAGGAATGCCCAGTCCCTGTGCAGAGACCTGCTTGGACCACCCTCCCATCCCACTGGGTATCCCACCATCAACATCCGTGGCTGGGGGCAAGGGGTCCAGATGTGCCGTGGGGCAGCGGGTGGCAGCAGGTGGCAGAGGGTGACAGCCTAATTCCCCACCCTTTACATGGGGACGGAGGACAGGCAGCATCCCAGTGCTGGGGGGGGTGCACCCCACCTTCGGCGAGTGACATGTGCGTGGTGCCCTAGGTGCTGGGACTGTCCCAGGGCAGCGTGAGTGACATGCTGTCGCGGCCCAAGCCGTGGAGCAAGCTGACACAGAAGGGTCGGGAGCCCTTCATCCGCATGCAGCTCTGGCTGACCGACCAGCTGGGCCAGGGCATCAGCCAGCAGCCCACACCATCCCAGGGTAAGTGACACTGCTGTCCCCCCTGTCTCAGTGGTTCCCATGTGCCATCAGTGTCTCTATTCCTTCTGTGTCCATCCTCTGCATCTAGGATGTTTGTCCTGCTCCCACCTCAACTTCTAGAAGAGCTGTCCCTGCCACCTCCAGCACCCACACCCTGATCCTGGGAAGCCCCTTTCATCCCCAGCCTCCTTAATTTAAAACAAAAAAAAGGAAAGCCACATAAAAAATCTTTGGCTTCATGCCTGGCATAAAACAGTAATGAATTTTTTTATGTTAGTGTCATTTTCTGTCTTTAATTAGTCCACTGGCACCCCCTGCTTTCCTGTAGCCACTGGAGGGCAGAGCCACAGGCGTCCCTCAAAATAACCTTCTTGTGCTGTCCCTCCCACCGTCCCCCTGACCCCTGTCCCTGGTGTCACACAGCCAGCCCGGCGGAGCCCCAGCCGTCCCCCTCGCCGCCCCCCAGCCCCGCCGAGCACGACAAGGGCTGCCAGGAGCCCCTCACCCTGGCCCTGGAGAGCAGCAAGGAAAACCAGCAGCCCGAGAGCCGGTCGACGCCCACGCTGGGTGGGAAGACGTATCCCAACAGCCAGGGACCTGTGGGCATCCAGGAGATCGTCGCCATGTCCCCCGAGCTGGACACCTACTCCATCACCAAGAAGGTCAAGGAGGTCTTGACAGACAACAATTTAGGTGCGAACCCTCTCTCTGCCCGGGTTTTCAGGAGCTGCTGGTGAGGCTGCATGGATCCAGCACTCCAATTCCCATAGATGCAAGCCCCCATGGTTCGCTCAAGGCGATTCTGGGAGGATGCTGGCTGGGAAATGGGGTGTGCCCACTCCACAGGGGGACTATAGAGCCCATCCCACTGCTCTACCCCCTCTAACCACCTCTGCTTCTCCTCCGCCAGGCCAGCGGCTGTTTGGGGAGAGCATCCTGGGCCTGACGCAGGGCTCGGTGTCCGATCTCCTCTCCAGGCCCAAGCCGTGGCACAAGCTGAGCCTGAAGGGGAGGGAGCCCTTCGTCCGGATGCAGCTCTGGCTCAATGACCCCCACAACGTGGAGAAGCTGCGTGACATGAAGAAGCTGGAGAAGAAAGGTGAGGGTTGGGGTGACACGGCCTCACTGGGGTTGGAGTGCTGTCTGGGCGGGGGGTCCCGGGCCGGGGGGCGAGCGGCGCGCAGCTGGGTGTCCTCTCCTGCAGCCTACCTGAAGCGCCGGTACGGGCTGATGAGCGCCGGCTCGGACAGCGAGTCCCCCAGCGCCCGCTCCGAGTGCGCCAGCCCCAGCGTGCCGCCACAGGACCTCAGCCTCCTCCAGATCAAGAAGCCACGGGTGGTGCTGGCCCCGGAGGAGAAGGAAGCCCTGAAGAAAGCCTACCAGCTGGAGCCCTACCCTTCCCAGCAGACCATCGAGCTGCTCTCCTTCCAGCTCAACCTTAAGACCAACACTGTCATCAACTGGTTCCACAACTACAGGTATGGGCACCCCTGGGCTTCGGTCATCTGATGGTGCTGTGCCACCAAGGTGGTGTCACTGCTCCTCTTCCATCCTTCCCAGCCCCTCTTCCCTAGATGGGAGGTGCAGACTCACACACGGTCACTGGAGGTCCCCAGGTGTGGGATTGTAGCCAAAATGCTGCCTGTGCCCTGGCTGGTGGGTGTTCAAGAGTGTTTACCACCTTGAGTCATGTTGAGCATCTAAAGAGGTTTCTGTGATCATATCCACCTGCTCACTGGAGCAGGAGCTCCACAATGGATGGGGGAAAGCCTTCTGGAGGCTCCTGGAGCACAGGATTCATCCCTACAGCAGCCCAGCAGCACAGGCTTCATCCTTAGGCAGTGTTGTAGGTGGACATATCTTGTTTTTCTGGCTGGAGATGCTCTTTCAAGACATGCAGTGTCTGTGACACGGGGTGAGGGGTGGAGGTCACCGACCCTCCACTGTTGTGTCCTGGCAGGTCACGGATGCGCCGGGAGATGCTGGTGGAGGGTGCTCAGGACAATGACACAGACCCAGAGCAGAGTGGTGGGACGGCCATCCCCGGGCGTCGGGCCCCCCACAGCCCCGACTCGGATGCCGAGGATCGTAAACCCGTGTTCGCAGGGGGCGAGCACCCCTGTGCTGCTGTGCCTGTGAAGGTGAAGGAGGAGCAGGGGGACACGGGCGGCTGGAGCCGCCGGCGGGACTCACACAGCCCGGCCGGGGCGGACGAGGGGACCGGACCTCCACAGGAGGAGCGGGGGGCAGCCCCCCACGCCGCCGCCCCCAGCGCCAGCAGCCTCTCACGGCGGGGAGGCCGTGCCAGTGCCACCGCCGGGGGACCCCCAGCGCCACCACCGCCGCACCCCGACAGCTCCCAGTCCTCCGCAGGGTCATCCCGTTGCAGCTTGGAGGTCTCCCCAACATCACCCTCAGCGGCTTCCTCACCCGGCCTCACCGGCTCAGCCTCACCGGGACCATCCTCAGCCGGGCCGGTCTCACCGGCACTCCCGCCGGCTCCCGGCCCCCGGCTCAGCACCAGCGTCCAGCGGCGCCACGAGAAGATGGCCAACCTCAACAACATCATCCACCGCCTGGAGCGGGCTGCCAACCGCGAGGAGGCCCTTGAGTGGGAGTTCTGAGCCCCCCCGCCGTCCTAAATATATATATACACAGCCACATATATATATATATTTTGATAAATGCAGTGTGCACCGAGAGGCGATGCCGGTGCCATGGAGGGGAGTGCCCGTGGAGAAAGGGGGTACCCTCCCCCCCCACACTATGAAGCCACTCCCTGGCTTTGTTTTAAATGTGAAAAAACTGGGAACAATTTTAGAAAAGAAAAACAAAACAAAAAAATATTTATAGACCTCTTTTAGATATTTTAATAAAAGGATACTTTGGAATTTATTAACAGCTTAAGCTGCTTTGATATTAAAGATAGCTATAAAATCAAGATGATGTAGCAGTCGTGTCATTAAATGTACACTGAAGTCTTGTAGTTTGCCACTGGATGAGATTAAAAACAAATAAAAAAACCCCAAACAAAAACCAACCCACAGAAAAGACTTTTTGAGCAAAGCCATCAAGAAGCACTATGAGACTGACCAAATTTAAGAAACTTTTGCAGTTTCCACCCCTGTCTGTAAGACACTGCATTGCTTCTGCCCCAACCACAGACTGCGTCCTAGTCCCTGAAGACTCTAAAGCGACCCCCCGACGCCATCGAGTATGTATTTAGTTCTGGTGGTTTATGTTTTTGGAAGCCTTTGTAACACAGAATGTCCCGTGCGGTTGTATATGTTGTAGAGATGTCTGCAATAGCCTCCTGGAACAAGATGTAGCATGGTCCCAATGCTGTCCCTCGCGCTTCCTCCAGCCGGCAACCCGTGGCAGCTCCCCTGTGGCGCGATGCGGCTGACACCAGCTCCCAAGGGAAGAGAGAAAATATGGCAACAGCAAAGGAAGCAAACTGTGCTTGGGATTTTGGGAGCAAGGTGGGAAGAGGTACCTGGGTATGACGCTCAGGGATGGCACCGGCTTGCAGGGGATGGACATGCATCCCATCCTGGTTCCCCGTGCTCTGCCATAGTCCATTTGGGAAAGGAAAAGAGATGGAGCCTCCCTGGGGCAGCAGTGCTTGGGGTGAGCGCCCAAAATTCATGAGCTCTGCTCTGCTCGGGGCTGCTCCAGCATCACAGCCAGTTCTTGTGGCTGAAGCACTTTTTTTAGGGAGAGCGCCTGGGTAGAAGGAGCATCCCCTTCCCACAGCTGTGTCCCAGGCAGTGGCTGTTGGTGGTGCCAGGATGAGCCTTGGGATGTCTCACCTGCCTGAATTGGGCAAGCTCAGCCCTGAACTGGGCAAAGCACTATCGAGCTTTGGCTTTCCAGGGTTGATCCTGTGCAGGATCAGCTCAGTGGTGGCACCATCCTGGCATGCTCCCTGTCCCCCACCCCAACCCCACCACCTCCAGCTGGCCTGTGCTGACAAAATGCCTTTTAACAATTCAGGGTGGCCCGTGCTGGGCTGCCCTGCCCTGTCCCTGCCATCGCCCACCAAGGCCCACGCTGCCAGGAGGGCTCCCTGCCAGGCTCCCAGGCTATGCACTGACTGATTTTCCACTGTAAACACTTTTATCAGAATAGAAGATATTTTTATATTCAGGTGGTGGTGGATGAGCAATGCTGAAGGCGCCTCAGCGAGGGCATGGCTCTCCTTGCCCACCTGCCCTGCCCCAGCGTGCCCACGGCCGCTCTTTTCCCTGCCACCACGCTGAGGAAGGTCGAGGTGCAACCATTGACTGCCTTCTCCGTCGTGTGCTAGCGGGAGCTTTAGTGGAACGGGACTTGAGGAAGCACTTAGGATAGTCCTGAACATGGCAATCCTGTTGTATGAAAGCCAGCGGGACATACCGGTCACGTTTTTGTTAGGCTCATGTTCTGTACTTCAAAAGTTTCTATGAGATCGATGAACTTTGTTTAAACAATTTTGGAAGGAACAAGTTCTGTAAAGAGCCACTAAATACAGAAGTTGGATATGACTCTGGCCTTGGGTTGTGTTTTTCTGGACTTGGTGGGATGTGAGCTCTGCTCAGCTTCACCCAGTGCCTGGTGTTGGCACCCTTGGAAGTCACAGCTTTGCTTTGGGGTTGTGGCCATAAACATATCCCAGTGACTGGGGGGTAAAAAATAGGGTGACAAATGGGGCTAGTCCAGCTCAGGGTGCGATCCTCCCCCATGAAATTCCTGTGCCCATCCCTGCTGCAGGTTTGTTCCTGCTCCATGGGGTAGCTCAGTATCATCCAGCGTGAGTTTTGGCTCGGTTTATCATAAAATCATATCATGGAATGCTTTGGGTTGGAAGGGACTTTAATGCCCATCTCATTCCAACCCCCTGCCAGGGGCAGGGACACTTTCCACTAGACCAGGCTGCCCAAAGCCCCATCCAACCTGGCATTGCCAGTGGCACCACACCCCAGCATGGCTCTCCTTTGGAGCCGACCATTGCCAGGCAAGTTGGCAGCTCCAACACAAGGCAGGGCTGTTTGTCTGATGAATTAAGAAATCCATATGTTGCCTATCTGTTTAAGCTTGTTTGTCGGATAACATGTTGGGAAGGACTTATTTTTAATGAATATCAGAACGTCTGGAGAAGCTGGGCCAGCTGCCATGGAAACTGGAATCTTTCTCTGCCGGGAAGGACGGGGCCACATCAACCATCTGGGGGCTGCGGGTGCAGCTGCACCCCGGCTGCCCTTGGCACTGCTCCAAATGCCAAAACATGTAGCTGGGTGCTGTGCCCAGCCAGGAGCAGGGCTTCATGCTCAGCAGGGCTCTTGGCAAGCAGGTGACCCTGGCTGGCTTCGAGCCTCAGTTTCCCCAAGAGGTGATCCCCCGACCTCCACAAGACCCTGTGTTAGCAAGAAGCTGGAGACATTCACGCAGTGGGGTGTTGTGGGCAGGGACATGGGGACGTGTTGACCCCTTTCATAAGGGCAGAGTCCTCGGTCTCTGTGTAGCACCAACACCAGCCCTCACAAGGGGACAGATATTTTGTCCCTGGTTAAGACCCATCCTTGCCATGGGGCCACCCTGGCACTAGGTGTCCTGATGTTCCCAGGGTGGCACCATCCCATCCCATGTCTGCAGGAAGATGTGGGGCTCTAGGGCACTGCAAGACCCTGGCACTGGCCATCTCCCCCTTGGGTGATACAGTCCCTGACCAGCCTCACTGACATGGTGGGGACAAGATGGAGACTAAAACAGAGGATTAATTCCCACCTGGACCCTCCTCCCCAGGGTCTTAAAGGCACAAACAAGAACCAGGGCCAGGAGGGAATTTCTGAAACAATTTTTATTGTAGCAAAATCTTGTGTCTGTCCCAAGGGGACAAAGGGAGCCAGAGCCACCCAGCCCAAAGCTGGGACACCCTGACTGCTCCACCGTTACCCAGGGTGGGTCACCCTACCTCCAGGCCAGCAGCCTGAGTGTCTCTTGGGGAAATAAGAGAGAAACACTGGCATGAGACACCAGGTTTGGCACATGAATCATCCCTCACGCTCCACTGCTGACACACGCATTCCCATTTGCCACTGTGAGCGATGCTTCCGCTTAGTGAACTGGTACAGGGATGTTGTGCTGTCCCAAAATATCCACAAGCAAGGCAGCACCCGCAGCTGCTGCGTTCCCCTGGGGTCTGACCCCCCTGAATTCAGTGGAGGGGTTGCAAGCAGCAGTAGCCCTGTAATGTCCGAGGCCGGGTTCATCAGCCCCCCCCCGCAGCTGGAGTGTGCAGTGCTGCTGCTGCCACTAAGGAAGGGCTGCACTCACTGATATTTTCATTTCAAACCACATCCTGCTGGAGCAGAGGGATCTGGTGGAGCTCAGCCGACCTCAGCCTTGTGCTGGGCAGGGAGAGGAAGTCGGTAACAGGCTCTCCAGCTGTGAAACACCCACACAGGCACTCAGGCAGGCGAGATCCCATCAAAATCCTCCTCCCAAAGTATTGTCTATGCATGATCACACTGCAAGAGCATCAAGAGGCCCCACCAGATCCAGAGCAGTGGTCGATTCCCAGGAGGCATCAGTGAGTGGTTCATAGGTTGCTTGTGCTGAGTGGGCCACCCCACAGCCACATCTGGGCGTGACTGGAGGGTGCATCCCTGCCTGGCACGAGATGCCCATTTCACCATCATGGAGCAGCACTTGGTGCTGGGCGCTCACTGGCACCATCAAGGTGTCCATCACCACCACAGACAGGGCTGCACATGCCAGGGTGAGGAGGGGCAGCACCAGGGATGACCACCTCCACCCTGCCACAGGTCCTGGTGGGTTCCCAGGTCTTGGCCGCCACTCAGGGCCGGGGCCCGCGCTGCTTCTCCAGCCAGTCCTGCCGCAGCCGGGCCACCTCCCGGCTGTACCGCTCATGGAGCTGGCAGAAGGTGGACGGGCTCTGCACTGTGGCCTCACCATTCAACACCCGCCTGCGTGGTGGCAGCGGCGGCGGCAGCGGGGTCCCCTCGTCATCATTCCCACCACAGCCAGAGGTGTCCAGTGGCTGGCCCACTCCCAAGGCATTGTTCCACACTGCGCAGCCATTCTCCTTCGGCAGGATGGCGGGCAGAGCTGGCAGCCGCTCTGGGGACTGCTTTGGCTTCCAGGAGCTGGGACACTCCCGGGAACCCCCACATCCACCAGCCAGCCCCCAGCGTATCTCCTCCAGCTGCTTCTCCAGCTCCCGCACCACCAGCCGCATGTAGTCGAAGCTGGCTCGGGAGAGTGACTTCACCCACGACTCCATGGCCGCCTGGCTCTCGGCCGCCAGCACATAGGTGCGGGATTTGGTGCCGCTAAAGCGGATGGCGAAGGCGAAATCCTCGGCTGACTCACAGAGCTCCACGTTGCAGCCCTCCAGCACGATGACGCCCACCGGCTCCCGGCTCTCCCGCTCCTCAAAGTAGAAGAGCATGTTGCCCTTGAGCACGAACCAGCGGCGATGATACGCCGTGTGCCGCTCGCCGCGCTTGTAGAGGAAGCCGGAGTTGTCGGCCGGGGAGTCGCAGGTGGCATAGAAGGCCAGGCTCCGCTCGTTCAGCTTCATGGCTCCACGCCCTGCGGGGACAGAGGGGCGGCTGCGCCTTAATTGCATGGGAATAAACCATCGGCTTTTTGTTCCCGGTGGCGCCAGACCCGACGCGCAGGAAATGGAGGTGGTGAATAAACAACCCTGGGATACTCGGGTTAACACCGCCCTCAGCCAAGGTGCTGTGTCCAGCGAGTGCTGGGTGGGTTGTGGTTTCTTGGGGCTCGCTGGGGAGGACGTTTCTCTCCCCAGTAGAGTGTTTTCCCGCGAAGGAGCCCCAGGCAGGGCTTGTCCCGGTGCCCCACGTCACCTGGCACAGGTGACCTTCCCGCCGGCGCCGTGTTTGCCGTGTGGCTCCGCTCCTCCCCACGGCGCGCAGGGAGGGTTTTGGCCGGCGCCGCGGATCCGGCTGCGGCTCCAGAAAGCCGTGACCATGAACCCTGTCACCCGGGCGAGGCCACCGCTCCCCTTGTCCCCTGATCGCCGTGCCAGGCTTTCCACCCACCTGGACTCTGCCTCTACCTCGGCTCTCCGGCGGTCACCAGCATCAGCGAGACGCGGGCGGCCGTGGAGGCCGTGGGAGCGCTGGTTCCGGGGTCGGACGGTGTAAAGGGGCTTTGGGGGCCCCTCTCCCGCTCCCGCCCGGTCACCTTTGTCCTCGGCTCCCGCCGGCCCGGCCCGGCTCGGCCCGGCCCCCGGGCGGAGCGCTGCTCCCGCCCGCCTCCGCCACCGCCCATCACCGCGGCCCCGCGCGGCCCGCGGGCGGGAGGAGGAGCTGGAAAACCGCTCCGGAGCTCACCCCCGGGGCTCAGAGCTCCTGGCTCGACCCAAAGCCCTCGGCCGGTAACAGTTCCTCACACCGGGACTTAGCACCAGGGAGAGAGAGGGGAATGCGAGAAGAGGTGGGGGCACGTATCGAGGTGTGCAGGAGAGATTCACATCCAGGGATGTATAGAGGGATGTACATGTGGATGTATGCACGGATGTACACATGGACGTATGCAGGATGTACATGTGGGTGTACTCATGGGCGGGAAGCCCAAGTGTTTAGTGCTGAAAGTGGTTGCACATTGAATTTTTGATCAGATTTTGGGGGCAAAGAATTGGGATCCTGGGAGTGTCTGGCAGGGAATGGGCAGAGGTCAGTGGATGAGGTGGACAACACAAACCCACAAAGAGGGCTGGAGGTGAAGGCAGCAGGGCAGGGTCCTGTGTGGGTGGGAGATGCTGCAGGGGACCAGGCTGCAATTCCTCTCTACTCTTCTGAGCTTCCAGACGTGTCTTTGGGAGAAGCTGGGCCAAAGCCGAGCGAGGGTGCCCTAGTGTAGAGGAACAGAAGGAGCTGAGTGGCCTGGATGGTGTCTGGGGGCAGGTGACAGCTGACACAAGGAGCAGGGAGTGATGAGCCATTAGCTGGGCACTGGAGCTGCCAGGTGTTGTGCCACAGCGTGGGCAGAGCCCACAGCCCCCTCGCTCCTTCCTGCCCACGGGCACCACATGGCACTGAAGCCGTGGATGCACCCTCAGACGAGTGGCCAGTGCTTGCCCCATCTGGGCCAAGGGTGAGTGGGTCTGGCTGTGCCAAGCGCTGGGGCCAGGGCTGGATCTCCCATTGCTGGTACCCACGTCCCAGGACAACCATAAACCTTCTGGCTGGGAGAAACCTCCAGTCTGACTTCTGCTCTTGGTTGGCCTTCCAGGCTGAAAGTGTCACCAGTCCAGGAACCACCTTGGCAGTGCTGCTGTCCTCACCATGTCCCAATAAACACCAGAGTCAAGGATTTGCTCTCCTTATCACTGTCCCTTTCCTCCAGTTTCTTCATCCCCCTGCTTTGCTCCATGGCCATGTGTATATTTTAGCAATCCCGCTGTTGACGACCATTTTACAGGTCCCCATCCCAGAAATCCTGCTGTCGGTGACCTCTGCCACAGGTTGTGGTCCTCACC